CCCCTGGAGACCCCTGAAACTCTTTCCAAGTCCCCCCGAACCCTCCAGCCTCGTCTTTCCCCCCCACCTCAGCCCCGTGTTTGCACAGTCCCAGGTAACGTTCACTGACCCGGCGTTCAGGTGGGAATTAAGACATCAGATCCCGTTAAATCTGTGAATGAAAACTTGTGGCTGTGGGCAGAGTTATTTTTCTCTCTGGTTCTCAGATAAAAGGCAAGTCCCTCCCTACTCGGGCCTGGCCCCCCTCTGCCAGGGCAGGACACAGAATGAAGTGATTTAATAATAGTTTACTGCAGTAAGTATCCCTGTGGGGGATATGCCACAAGAGCTGGCTGCTTTGCTGGAAAAAAAAAAAATTAAAAATAGAGTTAGAGGTTGTTTCTGTTAAGCTGTGCAGCCTGGAAAGGCTTTGCTTGGGGTGGATGAAGAAGCTGCCAACAGGGACAGCAATGAGGTTGTGGGAAGGAGGGGTCTGGAGCCAGGTGATTAGTGTTAAACGTGGGGTGAGCAGATAATTACTTCTAGGAAAATGAAGTAGCTGTGAAGCTGGCAGTGTCTGGGATGTCTTTATTAGCTCCTTAATTTAATTGAAATCCCTCGCGGGGAGCCTGATTCCTGACAGCTGAGATCTGATATAGTTGTCTGCCTCAGCGGGGTGGGGGGGCAGGAGCCTTTCTCAGCGGGGGGCAGCCAAGCTGCCTCGTGTTTCTTTTGTAATTAATAGGTAAGTGAGGTCAGCTTGGGCTGTTAAACCTTTAACTCGGTCGGCAATGTGGTGTCTGTGCCTCAGAGCTGCCTGCCGGGGGGTTTCCTCACCTGGGCTGGGGCTTTGCTCCCGTGGTTCTGGCAGAGCGCTCGCCAGGCAGCGGCTCTGTCTCAGCTTTTGCAGCGTTTCTCGTTTTATCCCCGTTGCCTTCCGAAACTTCACCTTCACTCCAGCAGCGGTGCCGCGTGGCGTTTGGGGATGTCTTCCAGAGCGGAGAGAAACGTCAGATTAAATACACTTACCCAGCAGGAGGTTTGCAGACAGACTATTTCTCAGGCTGCCGGGAAAAAAACACTTTGTTTTCTCTCTCTTCTTGAAGCGTAAGGCCCGTTGTGCTGCAGAGGTTTTCTGGTTTCTTAGGGATCAGAAACTTCTGCTTTAGCCCGTTGGCTCTAGCAGTGAAAAAGGATGCATGAGAGTAAGCTGAACGTTTGGAAATGCTTAATGAAAAACAGTCTTTGGGGTTGTTTTTTTTTGTCAGTTGGTGTGTTGCTGGGTTTTTTTTCAGATGTCAAATGAGCTTGAAAAACAGGCTGGACATGCTGTCACAGGGCAACAAGACGGGTCTGTCCACAGCCCCGACCGCTCGGGCATCAGAGCAGGTTCCCTCCTGCCAGTGGCCGGTGTCACTGTGTTCCTGGTTTTGGCTAAAGACCACGCGTTTTTGTGGTTTCTCCTTCCAGATATGTTTTTGTTGATGAAGCTAGTTGGTTACTCGTTTTTCCAGCTCAGTTTGGTGGTTTGTTTGTTTCCTCACAATGGAAATTACGGCATTTTTTGGTCCAAGAGTTAAATAGCAGCGCTGGTTACTTCAGATGCTTCTTGTGTCGGCGGGAAGCCTGGTGGACAGAGTTGCCCTTGGTGAGTCCCCCTCTTCCTTCCTCCTCCTTTCACAGCGTGCCTCTTGTCCCTTCTCTCAAGAGACTTTTGCTAATTCCTCAAATCACAACGTTTTTGAGTTTTCTGCATTTCCCTCCAGCGCCCGTGGCTGTGTTTCTCCTGCGCTGGGCTCCTCTCCTGCTCCTGTTTTTCATCTGCTGCGTGGTGGACTCTTGGACAGCGTGAGCTGCACGTGTTAGGTGTGCACAGGGCAGTGCACTTGGTGACTGAACAGCTCTTCCTTTCTCAATGTCCACTTACATTTACGTGCAGGGCAGTTTAATTTTTTCCTCCTCCTGCCCTTTGTTTTTGAATTTCAAGTGCCGTTTTTTGTCTTGAAGTCTCTCAGCTGCCGTGTTTCACTAGGGCCAGGTGAGCTGCGTGTGGCCTGGGCAGTGTAAAGATAAGGAGGGGTACGCAGGGAATAGTTAGCTGTTCACAGAGCTAATTCCAGCCAGGAGAGAGCTGTTAGCTCAGATTAAACAAATACAAAATGTAAATCCTCTCTAATCATACAATATTTTTTTGTTTGTTTTCATCTCCTCTTAGTATCTCTTGACAAAAATTTAATTTAAGGCTTCTCTGCTGTTTGCAGTGTCTGCTTCCAGCAAGGAGAAGCGGGAGGTCTCGTTGATTAGATTAAATATCTGGGTCACTTGCCATTACCTGTGTTTATTCTCTGGTGAGTTTGGATATTGGAAGAGGACAAGATAAAAGGAAACATGTGCAGAAAGCGATAACTGCGGCTGGAGCTGCCCCAGGCAGAGGCCACTTTCTAAATGGATTTGTACACGAGCTTTTCCTGTCCGTTTTGGGTCCTGCCTGAGCAGATACCAGCCATGTGCAAAAAAACTCGCTTCTAGTTTTTCCCCCCTTCTTTTGGGTTAGTGGAGGATCCAAAAGCCAGACTGGACAGTCTTCCCTCCTGTGTGTTTTCCTCAGAGAACAGTGTCGAGCTTTGCGAGTCGTAGTGCTTGGTTCAGGGAGTTAAATAATTTCTTTAAGCTTTGTAAAGGTGATAAACATCATACTCAGCTCCTGGTTTTCTGTAGGTGTGGATTTTTTTCACTCTATAAAAATGTTTCTGCTTTTTTCCCCTCTAGAGCTGGCCGTCTGTATATTTAGTTTTTTAATTTCTTTTTCCTGCTTAGCAAGTTTCTGCCCGGGAACATGGCACTGGGTTGATTTTATTGTTATTACCAACTTTTGAGATCTCTGCACCGAGTCAACGATGAGGCAGAGAAGCAGGTCGGGCAGCCAGAGCCCCAGTGCCTGTGCTCTGCAGATAAGAAGATGAAGGAAAATCAGAAGTCTGGGATAAGAAATGCATTCCGAGTCTGCGTCTTATCCCGTGACAGCGTGTTTCTGAGCGCTTCAGACCAAAGCGCTATGAAAATCCTGCTGGGTTTAGACCTGACCGCCAGAAATCAATCAACACGGCAGGGCGTTTAGACCGTGGCTTCGTGTCTTAAAACTTGTGAGGTTTTTTTTTCCCCCCTTGCTCTTTGGATTGAAGAGTCCTTACAAATCTCCCTCTGAGAAATCGTCTTCTAATCTCTGGCCTGAAGTGAACCACAGTTGGCTTCTCTTCTGTGCTAGCTGTGTCCTTCAGCAAAAAAATCCTCCTCCTCCTTGGTTTACATGGCTTTTCTAGAACCGACCTAATTATCAGATTCCTCTAGTTCTTTGTTCTCTAACCAAGGTCACTTTTTTTCTACCTCCCTGATCCCTGTAGTTCCATCCAGGAATGATGAATTCAAACCGGGAGAGTGAACAAGACCTGCAGCAGATGAGGTTTTGCAAGAGGGTGTTGAGCACACAGCTGTCTTTTCTGAAATTACTTTGTCTTTTGAATCCCGGGGTCTCGTTTTCTCTCTTCTCAGGACTATTTGCTGCTGTGGCTTGTGATGGTCACTAAATAAGCAAGACGGCTTCATCTCTCCTCCTCTTCCTGTTCCCAGCAGACGCGCGCAGATTGGATTAGCTTGTTTGTTTAAAAAAACAACGGTTAATTCGGGTTAATTCCCCGTTGCTTCCATTAAATGCGGTTTCTGAGGACCGCCTGTTTTCGCCTGTAACTTCGTGGTGATCTTCCAGGGTTTTGATCTCTGCAGAAGTCTCTGCTGCAGCTCCTCTCAGCGAGGGTGAAGCACCCGGTTTCGGGGAGGTTGCTGCATGGTCTGTGTGTTGATAACAGCAAGCATGGAGTGTGGGCACTGGAAAATTGGCAGCATGTCACTGGGAGAACACAAAAGTGATGCTGGTACTCGGGTTTGGCAGCAAAGATGTTT